CAACATCACATGGACAGATGAACGCTCGTTGGACACCATATATCCCTCACCAACTGCAACCCACCTTTCCTTAGATAATGTGATGAACTTATATCCATAATGTTGCTGAGCAGTTAATATTCTCAACTCCTGTCGGAACAGCTGAAATTCATAAACCTTCCTCACGCTAAGAAAATACCCACAAGCAGTAGAAATCCAATAATTAATGCGTCTGAAGCTTATGTTTTTACTATCAACAATGACATTGCAGATCAAATGAGATAAACACATCACTGATTTCAAAATAACACATCAATGAACTATTATTCGAGGACTCTGCACACAACAAAGTTATGTATGAATATTTACTTCAAGCTTTATTTTTTTCCCAGGCACTTATAATCCATCCACCAAAGACCTAGTTTTTTGTTAATGCGAAGACAATTCTCCTGTATTTCCTGTTGTATTGCACTCACTGACAATCTAGCAGATTTTTCCAACTTTGCACAGAAATGATTGTATATAAGTGAAAAGGCTGTTTTATACTACTGGGATTAACATTTATCAAGTGTATGTATAATCTCCAGCGAACATGTAAAGCATATCTTGCTACTGGCTGTAAATTGTGATTGAATTATATGGTTCTATTTCTGTAACAATTTGATGATGCCTGTAAACTGGCGTCCCTCATGTACTGTACTATGAGAATAAATTTATTTATTTATTTACAGATATCCGGTAATGTCAGTCAACTTGGTCACAGCAATTGAACATGGGCGAAATAATTACGAAAAACAATTGTGTAGAGACATTTGCTTATTTTTTTCATTAAATAGATTTAACATCCTGCTTACAATACTTTTCTTATTCTATCTGAGTGAAACTAAGGTTTTTGCATGAAAAGATGCAGATGTCAGACTTATCAATGATACTTGATGATTTATTTGACTGCATAATTAAACGTAAGCGACATGTTACTACGACTGCTACAGCTCAACCTACTTATTTATTCGTTATGTGTAAACTTAATTTTACAGTATACGTTAACACCCGTTATCATAGGGACTGCCATAACGCTTTAATTTAAATATTAGTAATACACTGATTTGGAATACACCTAACCGTATACGAACTGGAACTGCAATGCAGTGCCTAAGTTCTACCTATTGTTGTCATTGTTCCCTACAGACTTGCGTATGACTATGAGACGTTTTCACGTAACTGTAGACAGAGACTTAAGGGCCACTAAACTACTTATAATTCACCACGCATATCGGTCGATAGTGTTCCTACAGAATTACACTTAAGTATAGTAACGAGTTCAAGTCCTAGGGAGCACCGGTCTAGCATGCCGTGCTCACAAAGCGAATACATGAATTGAAAGACAACAAGATTTACATGAAAAGTTCATATTTATTATAATACAACATTAGTTTCTTTACATATTAAGAAAATGGTCCATTTGTGTGATTACTTCTCCCGCTTTCAGATGCGCACGAGTTGCGAGACCATGTCCATCGTTGACACTTATGCAGCACATTAATAACTACAAAAGGTGGAAGAGTAAACAAAAATAGAATTATGCACACAATATTACAGGATAAATAATGCTCTCACTCGCATTGGCTACCTGCAATAAACTAAAAAGGCTTTGTCAATTAGTATCCATCTGTCTCACGACTGTTTCAATATAATTCCGTAGAAAAAGCAACATTGAAATACATCACTGAGCAATATCCACCGATAAAATGCTACACGTATAACCTAAAATCGAGAAAAGCCAAAGAACTCACGGGTTCCTTGACATCGCCAGCAACCGATAGGCCAACAAACCGAGTGTATGATAAGCCAAGCCTTGTACATGCACAAATAAGTAAAAGAAAACGTTAGAATACTCAAATTTTACATTTATTTTCATCAAATATGCTTGTAAACAACGCATACCTCAAGCACACAAACCTGCAACGACATCACCTAACAAGGACAAATTAAATATCAAATTAGCCACCACTGTTCCAGCCAATGAAAGACGAGAAAACCTGAGGCGCGGAGAAATTAAACCGTCATAGCCTATACCCTCGCCCCACTTCTTGATTGTGAGATAAAGGTTCCTGGTCTTTGGCGTGGTTCGCCCTGCCACCTGACTGTCGTAGTTTTGGTTGACTCCAAAAGGAGTGGTGCTGGGATTAACTATATGTTGTTAGTAGTATGCAGTGTGTTAAGACTTTGTTGCTACTGTGAATGGAGTTGGTTCTTTCACCCATTAGTCTCCCGATTTCGTCGTCGAAAGAAAAGAGACAATAACAGATAAACTTATTGTAGGTTATTGAAACTAAGAGACAGAAAACGTAAAAACAGACAGCTAATGGAATCTGAAATTAACACAAATACGTAGTACATATATATACATGCACACATATACACATCAATAATAACAAAAGTGTAAGAGACGTGATAATAATGATAATAATTCATTATTATAGTTGGAGTCGTTAAGGGAGTAGGACAAGTGAGAATGTCCATCCATTAATAGTGTGCGAGGTTTTAAGAAAATAGGCCTTTTGGACTCAGTCCTTGTGTCGCTGCATGATTGTTCGGTCTTCGCTTTAAGCTGTCCACAGACGGTGTCGTAGCCTTATCTGCCGGTAAGGAGTTCCGAACTCGCAGTGAAAGGAAGTAGGGCGCACTTGAGTCTTTGCCTGCTGGTGAGCTATGCTTCGGGGATCCCCACGAGGAAGCCCATACGTACTTAAGGGTAGAACATTTTTCTGGGTGATTCTCGTCATTTGTAATCTTATAGGCAGTGATCAAGTCCTGCTAAGCCAACAGTTGTTTACTGTGAAGAGACATAATTTCTTCAGCCGTTCATCATATGGTTTGTGTCGGAGACCCATCAGTCCTTTTGTCGCCCGTCGTTGGACTCTTTCCAAAAGGTTCGCATCTCTTCTAAGCAGTTGGGTGCAAGGTTTGGTCTAACATATGCTTCGTACAACGTTAGGAAGTGCTCACGAGTGAGCGCACCTAATTGTCTATGTGTAAAGTGTATGACCACATATACCCTCGCCACATCCCCTGTGTAATTTACGCTTGTGTCCATTTTCTCCGTTAGAACTAGATCTAAGTCAAGTTCCGACGTTGAGCAGGACAAGCTTTCGTTGCACAGGGTGTAACTTGCATTCTGCAGTCTACAGGTGTGTAACTTCATTACTTTGCACTTTTCAGGTTGAAAGTCATGCCACTGGCCACCACCCAGTCTTCCAGAAGCCTTAGATCTGCCTGCAGTCTATCTGAGTCCTCCGGACACTTCATTGCCCTCCATATCTTCACGTCATCAGCGTATAGAAGAGTCGGGCGGCTTAGACGGCATGGTAGATCATTGATAAAAATCAAGAACACCAGTGGTCCTAGGATAGAACCCTGCAACACTCCTGATGACGAGTTGTGCCAAGATGATCGGACTCAATTGACCTTGGTGCAAAATCGCCTTTCAGTTAGGTAGTCCTTCAACCATGACAGAAGTGTCTTACCTATACCTGCCTGACTTATTTTGTGTAGGAGGAGGTCATGGTGAACGGTGTCAAATGCCTTCTCAAAGTCTAGGAAGACCACATGGACTGGAACATTTATATCCCAGCATGATGTCCAGTCGTCCCAAGCTGATAGCAGGTTTGTTACACAGAATCTGCCTTTTCTGAAACCGTGTTGGGCTTCATGGAGTATTTTAGACCTATCGAGATATTCCCTGATGTGATCATCAGTAATACTTTCCAGTACTTTTGATACCACTTGATGTTTCTCACATTCTATATGACTGCTGTCAACCACAAACTTCCAGAAGTCATCTAACCTGAATTCCTTTATCCCCTTTCTGTAGGCTGGTCTCACAAGTGTTGGGCCTTCATAACAAAATTATTTTGTTCTCGCCTAAGGAGGTTTCTGTGATGTTTTCTCACGTGTAGGTAAAGTTATGAAAGGTAATGCAGTGTGTTTGTTTAAATTCCTGAATTTCACTCAGGCTTCCTCTACAATGGGCTAGTATTAACTAACTGGATCACCGTTGTCCAAGTGTCCGGGGCAGAAATTTCTGACCAATAGTTGAAGTTACTAAATGTAGCGTAATGGATAAACGCTCATTTCTGCCTAGGGGTGTGAGGTACTTAACTTCGTCCACGTCCTCTATCCTGTTTGTAAACGTCAAAGTAAACGAATCTTCTTGACCCTGGATTTTCCTTCAAGATGTTACTTCGTGGTATTGTTCGACCACACTCTGATGGCTGTGGGCATATGGTGCCGACGGAAAATATCCTTAGGTATTTAATTTTGGTGCTAACGTGAGGATGCAGGTAATTTAACTACCTCCTGAATCAGGACTGACTGAAAAAGTCATGCAAAAATGAAGACAAATCACTGGTTGTAGGGGTAGTCATCCACAGTGGTTCAAAGCTAGAGCACCTAAACTACCACCAAATTGTTTCTGTTTCAAAAACAATAAGAGAAAACCATAATACCAAGTAATGTCATAATAGGGCGTAGTTTCCACAAGAAAATCAGAGTATTTTGCAACATAAAAATCACCACTGTCGTTCTGAGAGGCATTGAATGGGATTGGTCAAGAAATACGCCCTGTATTAGCCATTGAAGTGTGGCAAGTTCGGACAAACATTTTAGCGAGCACGATATAAGTGATGGGTTCCAGCTTTGCTGAAGAGGTACTAAAGGATTCATCTGTTGATCAAAAATGGAAGTTAGTCATCTGCACTTTTTTCCCAAGCCAGATTCTTACTTGTTTTTCGAAGCGCCTCTGACGAGAAAGAACAGTAAAATAACCCTTTATCGGACGACGATATGCTAGGCTCACATACAAAGACTGTTCAAACCGAAGTTTCGCGACAAGACTTTGGAACTTTACGTAGTTAAGATACCGATTCAATAAATATACTTCCAGTGTTTCTTTCTCACTTCCTCCCATATCTTAGTATATTTCAACGTTTTGTTTAAATTTATCAAACTTTGAAAAGAGTATATTAACAGGGAAACGAATAGCGTGGATAGTTAAACATTTTCGGTGATCATGACTTCGATTGAATACGGTGGTGGACCCACTCTTCAGCAACGACAGGCGTTTACAAACTTAGAAGAGGGTGGACATGTGCCAGGGTAATTTCATGCTGTTATTCTGCTTATTATAAGAATGGTATTTTTACAATTTCATGAATTTGAAATTCGAAATATATACACACAAACATAGTGGAGGAAAGTTTTCAGTGTTTATTTAAAGTATGTTAAATACCACTAGCTCTTGCCATGTTCTTCATCAGGATTTTTCATAGCAGTTAGGAAAACAGTGATTTCTGATTAGTTTTCCAGTGGCTGACATATTTACTACTTGTATTTTTTAATAACTGTTTCCTTTTCGTAAACTTTCACAGTGTGCTAAAAACGTGGAAAGGTTTTTATTTTTGTTTTTTTCCTTGCTTTTTTCATCATAATTTTCAAAATTGTTAGAGAACGTTTTTTTCTGGTACTTCGTTTTTTATAATTACTCAGTAATCTGTAGCTTAATGGTCTTAAAAGAGACTTCTTAGGGAATTCAGTTTTCCTTATCAATAGATTTGTATTGGGACACTGTACAGTTGTGACTGTATTTACCTGGACACAACAGTCTACTAGTGAAAAATATAAGGATTGGCGTCATTGATGCAGTGAGTTTAAAGTGGTTTCTAGGAAACAGAACTGCGCAACCAAAGCCACAAATGATAAGGGCTCAGTAAAACAGTCAAGGTCCTAACAATGTCAGCCATGTATTCAACAGCAAGGCAGAGAATCTCAGTTACAATAACAAAGTCGAATGTATTAGTCATCAGTAAAGAGAATCGTTGACTGTGTATGACTGATAGAAAGATGTCTTAATTTCGCCACTTTATGCAGCCATAAAATATGTGTTTTTTCTGTTGATTGTATCTGAAATGTTTTAATTTCCACGAATAAGAGCATGATGATTAAGTTTCATAATTTAATGCAAGCAGAGTACTTTATAAAAATACTTCATGACATAATAAAGCTGTTGGCTTTGTTTGCATTATCGTCAGAGTAAATATCGTTCCTTATTCAGTAGAAGATAATTACGAGATGTAGAAGCTACTAGTGTAGCCAAAGAATCAGATTACTGTGGTAGAATATAATTCCATATCAATGTGACAGTAGCAACTTAATATTAATTCTTTTATTACTGTTTCATTGTGCGTATGATAAATGGAATTATTTAATATGGAATTAAGCAAACTGTTGTGTACAACATATAATGTTATGTTTCAAAAATATTAAAGAACCCTTTATAAAAGGAATTTTCCTCCGAAATTTATTAACATACCAAGTTTGTATGCCTGTTTGTTAGAGTGAGCATTTAAATGTTTTAGTTAAACCATCCTTAGCAGCATCAGACTTAGAAAATCAGCTTTTGCATTACTTGCAACCAGTGAGTTCCAAGGTTTCACTACTCAAGGAAGAGTGCAAGGCTTGCTGCTTCTTTGATTCTCAACTTTTTCTTATTTATAATCTCTTTTATTAAATTAACCAAAGTGAAATATACTCCGGATAGATTCTAGTACACCCACAGTGTTTTTTCATTTGCATACCCTTTTGACTCAAATTGTACTCCATCCCTTTCTAGCTGATCAGCGTTGAGTTAGAAAAGTTTTATAAAACTTGAAATCTTTTGTCTGCTATTCGTTCGTTAAATGCTTTAAACACTTTATACTGAAAAATGCGAAACAAAGGGCACATTTAAACGTCAAAACTGATGCACTGCTAAGTAAATGTCTTCATATTTAGTTTTAAAATAGCACTGACTAACTTGGCTTAATCGTCTTCTGTCGGAATATGTAAGATGTGCCCACCACTCTTTACTCGTTTACATTATTTAAAATTTCTTTACGGTAGTGAAAGACCAAGTCATAAAGATACGACATGTTTCTGTTGGTGACTATATTTCTTTCAAGGAAATTAAGTTATATGTAGTATTCCGCTGTTGTGTTTGTCAAGCATTCGAAGTGAACTTTAGTCATTCAAATACAGGTGATTAATAGCAACAATGATGTTATCCAGCATCATTATGCGAGGACATAATACTGAGAGATAATTAGCACAGTTGACAGAAAGAATTTTAAATTTCTAGTGCTAACTAGACTCGAGATGGTTTTCATCATTTTATTTGATAAGAAGCGAACAGTGATGCAGTACTGTATACTATTAACATCTCAAGCACAGTTAATCGCTCATGATCATATCAAGGCACTACTCACATAACTTACAAACTTTGTTTGTATAATTCCATTATTTTTTGTTTGGTTTTTTTGTTGGTATTGATTTCATGTCACTCCTATTTACGTGTTTGGTGCATTTTAGATAGATAAAGGCTTACTGATCAATCTCTTCCTCCATTTACATATGTTTAGCTCTATCCGACTCCATTTTGTGATTGCATATTAGTAGTGTATGGAGTGAGCTTTCTGGGTTTTTATCCAAACCGCTCCTATCCGTGGGTTCATTGACTGTATACCGAGTTAAATTTCTATATTCTGATAATCTAACTTTCACAGAACTGGTATATCAAGATATTCCTTGGTGTAAATTTAGAGGGAGCTTATGAAAAGATAACTGTATGAATACAACTGTTTTCTTGATGCAGACACCGTGCATAAAGCATGTATAAATCACAAACTTTTATTATCTAGCGGCTGAATGGTCAAATGCATACTGTTTCGGGATGTACATGGCAAAAGATCTGATATTACGTCCCCACTTCAGTGACTGTCTAGCCAATGACTATGTTAACCTGAGGATCCTCAAGTAATTATCCATCAGTCGTTGCAGTGTGGCTAATTATCTTGAATTGAATAACCAAATCTAATATATTACCTAATAAAACTATCCCAAATAAAATGCCTCACAGACAGAGCTTACGGAAAGTAAATAGTGACAATTAGAAATTTCATGTGATATGAGTTTTAGTCACCTGAATTGAGTCTTCAGTATATTCCTTTTTTATTCCTTCACGTTCCCAGTGGAACATGAGGGGCTTCAGGCTAGAGGCTTGAAGTTTCTGTAGCAGTGGTGATTATTTTTACAGGATGGGGTTACTAGCCTCATGCCCAACCTTCCCTGTTTACCATCTTTTTTATTACTGGCTTAGAGAGGTAAAGTAGTGCGTCGGTCGGGGATCGAACCATAGACCATGTGCATGGTCAGCGAGCGTCCTAACCGTACTCAGTATATTCAGATTCCTTATATTGGTAGCTTTAATGACATATTTTTTCTAAATAATGTTAGTTCGTGATTCAATTTGAAGTCAGTCGAATCTCTGCCTATCTACCAGCACCTAAAAATGAATCTACTGCGTGTTAGTGACCGCCTACGGGGTGGACTTCATGGAGTTCCAATGCCAATGTGTGACTAATGAGGTCCACCAAGTTTGGTTTACGGACAGATACTAACCAATAGCATCGGTGCTATACACTGTCAACTGGTAGAAGTTTGGACTCACACGCCACTGGATTGCTATCTGGTGTCTATCTCCTCGTATCCTGAAGGTGCTTGATTCGACCTCTGGTGGGGTAAGGGGTGTGTGCTACTGAAGGGTTATATTTATACCTTTTAAAGATATTTTTTTCATTTCTATTCATTGGTGCTTTTTGGACTTTTATGGAGTGTAGTAACTTGAAGTGATGTATGTTTCGCTCTCAGTCATTCTACCTGCTCGTCTATCTCTTCAACACCACTTGGACAAGTGTAGCTGAGTCAGATCACAATGTGTATCTTCAACCGATCAGCCAAATGTCATTCAGAGGGTCTTGAGGAATGACAGAAAGAAATATTTTTCAGAACAGACTAATATCCTCTTCTTCTTAACTGAATTTCGTGCCTATCTCAATGTTGGAAGGGTCCCAGTGGCTGAATAGTATACGAGCTTGCCTTGTAGCCAGAAGGTCCTGGGTTTGGACCCTGGCGGTGGGTGAGTGCTGCCGATGATTCCCGAACTAGGATGAAACAGATGTTCAGTTCTCTCTGGTTTGTGCGTCTGTGGCACAGCGGTAGAGTGCTCGCCGACCACGCGTGTGGTCCGGGGTTCGATCCCCGACCGACGCACTACTTTACCTCGCTAAGTTAGTATTAAGACTGGTAATGAGGCAAGGTTGGGCGTGAGGCAAGCAACCCCATCCTGTAAAAATAATCACCACTACTGCAGAAACTTCAAGCCTCGATCTTGAAGCCCCCCATGTTCCACTGGGAACATAAAGGAATAAAGAAAATCTCACTGTGGGGAATATTTTCAAGTGGTCAGTTAGTTATACTGTCGTGTCCAGAGGTGCATTCTAGTCAAGCTGAACGGAAAATACTGATCAGTAACACTCTGTTATAACGTCATTTTTCCACATACAGATACTGAATTTGGCACCTTGAGACAATAAGCTACTGAACTACAGGTTTCTATTCAATGATTTCAGATTGATTCGTGTTGATCCTTTGCCTGATAGAAGTTACCCCATTTTATGATTGTTTTATTTCGTCTTCTCTTTAGATATATGGGATTTTGCCCACAATTTAAATACAGATATGGCCATTCTTTTGGTAAGGAGACAGCAGATATAGCTAAAGTAAGTGATATGAAGTTAGCGAGGAAATAATTGATGATAAAAATAATAATCATATTAAAATTTTAGGAACTTCCATATTACAATGGTCCAAGAACTCAAGTAAGTTGGTTCTGTGTATGTATACTGTTCTACATTGTAGCATCCGCATCATCTTTATCCTGTTATCGGTAAAGATAAAGCTGGTGTTGTTCGATCCGTGTTCAGCGATGAAGTACCTGGTAGAATGTTACCTAAACCAGCAGGAGATAATAAATATTTTGAAGGAATGATTCCAGGATATTCTGGTATGAGGATGAATATTTTCTTTTGTTTTAACACAGCAATTTCTTCAAAATCTCTTTATCTTTCTAGGCGATGTACCACATATGAATTTCAAATTCGGTGGAACCTACAGAAATCTCTCCGATGAATGTGTAGATCAATTTGTTCGAGAATATAAGTGTACTGAACAAAAACGCAATGAATTGAAAGAGTTGGCTAGCCTATTTCCAAAACTTCGTCCTGTTGCTCGTGATCCTTTAGTCAGGGATCATTTGAATATATGGACTGATGATATGATAAAGAAAAACTTTGATGTGAATATTGTTAAAGGTCCTACAGAACCACCGATTCCAGGTTATCAAGGATTTCTGCCACGTGTAGAGACAACAGAAGCTGGCCTGGCTAAACGATTTCATGAAGCAGCTAAAAGTGGATTGGAATCATTCAGAGCTGAGTGCAGAAATCATTTTGATAATCTTGATATGCCTATGACCAGTTTAGACACGTAAGGCTTCTGTTGTATAATTTGTCATTTCCTTTTAGTTTTATAACGGTTACTGTGTGAAAGGTTTTAAGTTGGAATGCTGCACACTAGTGTCAGGCTGGGCAAAGTTAAACTATAAGTACCAGTACTTACATATATTTATGAAAACAAGAATGCATAAAAACTGTATAAAAGTGTTACAAAGGATACCTTTCTCTCACACGTGATAAAAAGCAAATCCCAGTTTAATACAGGAATATCAATAGAGAAGTTACACCACATCCTATACATATATTCATCTAAATGACTATAAGTATTATCCTTTTGTAATCCATTATTGGTTCTAATCCGGTTTTTTAATCTTCTCCAAAAGCTTTCGACAGAATTGGTGTGAGCCCCTGTAGTGGGATCCTCAAAATCATTAGGATTGTTGACTGTGTAGTGAATATATCCAAGTAATCACAAGGAGTTATAACCCCTCATCTCATTTGTGTGTATTGTAGATCCTCGTTTCACCAGTCGAGTAATATTAGGCTTTAAAGTACTTGACTTTCTGTCTTCTGTTCTCTCGATGAATCCCTTCCGTTAAGAGTTATCGTATGGACCAATCACTCAAACATTATTTGCTCGTTCTCGACCGCAGATGTATTTGTTCTTCAATAAGATAATTTCATCTACATGTACGACGACACCTCCTCCTCCCCAATAGGGAAGTAAGCCTCTCCATTTTTCATGACGTGATATTTCTGCAGTGCTGGTACCATTGAACTGTCAAAACGAGACTATTTTCAGTTTCAACAGCTGCACCTCTCACAGGCTGTTTTAAAACCTAGGAATTACAAATTTACAAAATCTGGGTTAGGGAAAGATGTGATCTGGCGAAAAATGTTCTTACGAAATATTAGGATCTTCAGCTTATCTTCCCTGACACTAACTCATCTCAAACAAATTACACACCGATGCACATGTTCATAAACCGATCTGCGGGAGCTTTTTATTCTCAGCACACCTCTATGTGGACAAATCCTTTCTTTTCTAATCTACCACACACCTAAGTCATGCTGCAAGATTTGTCTTCACCAAATTCCAAATGTAAATCTGTTAAAGCAGACATTTGATTCGAATCAAGAGGAAGAGAAGCATCAACTCATGTGAACAAAACTCACTGGACCATTCAAGATCACCGGTTCATAAGCACTCCGACGGTAGTTACTGGTGCTTGAAGTTTAACTTGATTTTAGGTTGTGCTGGTGTGTGTGTGCATTTATGTGCTTGTCAGTCTGGCGAAAATGTTACACCAATAAAGCTGTATAAGGAGAAAATCTTAACAAGAGTATGAGTTCTTAGCTTGAGGTTTCCTCAGTATTTTTTAAAACATTTTGTATTATTAGAGAAATTATTATTAAATATATAATTTAAACACTAGGAAAACTCTACTACCATTAGAATTTTGAAAAAAGAAAAGGGACATTTAAAAGGGTTGTATCATGATATTAGATAGTTGGAGGCAATCGGCTGGAAGCCTTGGACCTAGGTTTCTTGCTTGTTGGCACTGGTCAGCCAGGCGTATCTGCAACCTTGAAGGAACTGATGTCCCTTCTGAGATTCGAACCCGCGTCACCCAATGCTGCAGTCAGAGACGTTACCACTGAGCTATTCGGGCTCGCGATTGACCTCCTGTAGGACTGTAGTGAATATTTTGATTTGACACAAGTGACTAGTGTGATGTGTTTAGTCCTCTCTTTCGTGCAGACTGAATTCTATCAGTCAGGTTTGCAATGGGGCCACCGTTCTAGGTAGCTCGCCATCACGTCTCTGACTGCAGCACTGGGTGACGCGGGTTCGAATCTCAGAAAAAACATGAGTTCTCTCGAGGTTGCAGATACGCCCTGCTGAAGAGTGCCAACTAGCACGAAACCTAGGTCCAAGGCTTCCTGTGACCGATTGCCTCCAACCATCTAATATCATCAAATCAATGTGCACCATGATGGCGAGCTACCTAGAATGGTGGCTACATTGTGAACCTGACTGATAGAATTCAGTCTGCACCAAAGAGAGGACTAGACACATCATACTAGTTACTAGTGTCAAATCAGAGTTGTATCATTTTTGAATAAAAACATATTTCCCATCATTGAGCAAATGCATCTGATAAAATCGCACATTGATACAGTATTATTTACTGAGGATGTCTATAGCACAGTTCATCTGACACAATCAAGTAAAGGCCCTACTTACTGAATTTGCTTTAACCTTCTTTATCTTATTCATTACTGAATCGACAAGCTTCGTAATTTCCTCGTATGAAGGCGTTGTAATGTGTACAGTGACTTTCTACACATAGTCGAATATATCCATAAATACTGTTACTATTATTATATTATTATTATTGTTTCCTTTATTTCCTAGAGGTGCATGGGGCTTCAGCCCCACGTCTCCATTGCGTTTGGTTCGCCACCAACGTTTTCATCACATTGCTCCACGTTCGGTCACATGCTTTCATCTCCTCTTCAAATGACCTCCTCCATGTTACCCAATCCTCACACTGACGACCAACTCGCCGCTTCCTATTCGGGTTCCACTCGACCGATGGCTTGTCGTGTGATGTCACTTGATGGTTTTCTCAGAGTATAGCCTCCAATCCACCTCCATTTCTTCCTGATTATTTGTTGCATAATTGGTTCCTGCTGTGTTGGTCCGTTCCCCGAGATCCCCGCTGCTGATCTTTACTGGTCATCTGATCTTGATCGAAGTACTGAGCGAAGACAGCTGTTGATGAGGGTCTGTAGCTTGTTCGAAGTGCTCTTCGTGATGCAGTGCGAAGTCTCTGATCCGTATAGTAGCACAGAGTTTACATTGTATTTGAAAATCTGGATGTTATTTTTCATGCTGAGTGCTGCTGACCTCCAGACAGACTTGAGAAGAGTGAAATACTGTTGAGTTACACTAATCCGTGTTTGCAGTGACTGTGAATTTGTCATGTTTGAAATTCATCAGAGCTAGCTAATATTTCCGGCTTAGTAAACTTCCCATCTTCTTCCCTTTTTACGCTACAGTCTAACATTGAAAGCTCCCTTTCCTGACTTTCCAACTGATAAGTGAATTGCCTCCACTTTTGAGTTGATGTGTTCGAAAAATCTATCTATATTCTGTGTTCTAAGTACAGTGAATGTGTCATCTACATACCTCCACCTTACTTTTGGGGTGGGACTGAACGTTTCATTTGCCATGTTTTTCCGCCTATCCATACATACATCTACCACAACAGGGGATATTGGTGACCTCATGGCGAATCCCTCAGTTTGTTTGTATATTTTCGCTTAATAAAAATAATATAATATAATAATTACTGTGTTTTATCTCCTTATCCCGTTCGTATACATATTGGCAACAATCGAAGATATACATGTTTTTGTCGTACTTCTGCCTTTTGTGATTTCTTCTCGGTATAAAAATATCATCACAGTTCACGACTTTCTTATCTCACTTATTCTCAAATGAATTATTTATCATTTATAATATTTCTAATTATTTTTAAATACTTTTTCAGATCACCACAGATGGCAAGGATAGATCCGCTTACATCAAGCAGTAAATATCATAGTTCACGTATATTCCGTCAAGAGGGTATGATACCAGACTATGAAGGTCATATTCATGGTAAGTAAAATATTCTATGGTGGATTTGAGGCTTGTTTCAAAACTTTATCCCTGTTGAAATCTAATACTACTACTACTACTATTATTACTGATTGATATCAAGTAGTTAAACACTGTTTATAAAAGTTACAGGCTTAACTAAACAGTTGGGAAGTGCCACCAGATTGTTGAACAATTTCCTGCTTATTGAGGCCACAAACACGTGGGGATAATTCTACCAATAATTAATCTTTCTTTGTGACAACTTTTAGGTTATTCTGTATTTCCTGTTAATTGATTCTGCATGAGCCAAATACCCAGTCTCGGCTGACTTGTCGGCTAGTTGCGCAAATGCTTCGATAATGTCTGAGGATTAATGTGATGTTATTTTGGGTTGATGGTGACTAGCGGTATGGAATCCAGTAGGTGTGCATTTCCTCCTGGAATTATCTGCATCCCGAGTGAGTAATAGTCTACCCATTCACTGGAAATGCAGGTGGGATCAGGTGATGAGTCCACAATAGGACGAAATGAGTATTCTGGATTCCACATTGCTAATCAGCATCACTAAGAAATAACTTTTAATATCGCTGTTATTTTACAATCAAATGACACGTCACTTGTTAAAAGTCAAGTGATAATCATAGAAATTCGTCAGGCTGATTCATGAATTTGAGTACTTTTAGAGTCGCAAAGATTAGTCAGATGACTGGTTCCCATTAGAAATCAAAACTTAGAAGTTTCTAAAAGTGTGAATTAAAAGTAAAAACACAAATGGAAAGGAAATACACTTGACACATTTGTGCACTTAAAAGTTAAACTCAAAAGCTGAAAATTCTTGTCAATCATTTTGAAATGTATATAGCTCAGCAATCTCCATTGTTCAATAGTTTAATTTCACAAAAGACTTCTGATGTGTATTTCACTTTAATATATATTGAATAACTCTCTCTTTCTACCCCTTATACGTGATGTTTCGTTGGATGTATTACACGAAGTGATTTTCGCTCAACTTTATATTTTATAACTGTTACGAGTTGATCACGGATTGATATCAGTTAGAGAACCATTGAAAGCCAGGAAGTACTGGACAGCTGTTTCATCCTGGTTTGAGAATCATCACAGTACTCACCCACAGCCAGGCTTCGAACCCAGGACCTTCCGGTTACAAGGCAAGCTCGTATACCATTCAGCCACTGGGGCCTGATTCATTGACTAGCCCATGAATTCTAACTTCTACCAATTTGTAACCGGAAGGTCCTTGGTTGAAACTCTGGTGGTGGGTGCGAACTGCCGATGATTCCCAAACTAGGATTAAGCAGCTGTCCAGTACTCCATGGTTTTCAATGCTTCGCTAACTGATATCAATCCGTGATCAACTCGTAAAAACAAATCTAATCCTTACAAGCCAACTATTGAAAATGTTATATATATTCAGAATTCCTCCCAGAACAAGTTGGATTCAAGAAAAGAAAATCATGTGCCAACCAAATTGTGACTCTATACATAATCCTTGAACTAAGCGTAGAATGGCAGACAGCTCTTAATGGCAGTCAAATCTCAATCTCCATCATGGAGAAGATTTTATTTTGATAAATCACACAGTGTTGTACAGTAATATTAACTGATGATATCATATCAAGTTGATATGATTATGAGCAATAGTTTATGCTCGAAACGTCATCAGTTAATATTACTGTACAACACTGTGTGATTTATCAAAATAAAATCTTATCCATAATGGAGTTATGCTCTACCACAGTGCCCAAGTTTTATACTTATATCAAATCTCAATTTGCCTTAATTTCATCGACTTTGTAAAGGCCTTCGACAACACTGACCGCGAAGTATTTGGAAACTGCCTCAACACTATGGATTTCAGTAGGCCAGGTGTTTATCAACCTCATTCCTTAGCTATCTGACAATACCAAATGTCAAGTGACCTACACGGGAAAACTCAGTGAGGCATTCGAAGTGGAAACAGGGGTAAGACAAAGCTACTGCTCACTTTCACCGATGATATTCCTAAATGTGATGGACTGGATTATGCATAAGACTGTGCATTGTGAGTGAGAAGACAAGAGTACGTTGAACTGGTAGGAAGACTCTAAAGGATCTGGATTTCGCAGATGATTTATGTTTAATATCACTCAAACTCGAAAACTTGAAGGCGGAAACCAACAAACTGGCAGAAGAAGCAGGCAGCAAAGACTGGACTTAAGGTGAACACGGGGAAGATGGAGGTGATGAAGGTAACCAACTAACAATAACAACAACAAGAAGTATCAATCACTATCAACGGAATAAATTTGAAAGAGGTCACCTCCTTCACTTAACTAGGGAGCATTGCTTCAACTACAGGGGGAAGGGACAAAGATCTCAAAGCCAGAATCGGAAAAGCGATACGGATTTTCATCAGTCTGAAATCAGTTTGGAGATCTTCTGCACTCCGCATAAACAACGAAATTCCGATTTCCAAGACCAGTGTTAAGTCAGTCAGTTCTTCTATATAGGTTAGAAACGTGGCGCGTCACGAAAGTCATTTAGAACAGGCTGTGGCAAACTTTTATCAACAGCTGCCTTCTCTGGCTACATACTGAAGATTAGAACGCCGGTTAGAAAGAGTTAGCAACAAGAAACTCTGAGAACGAACCAAACAAGCACTGATTGTTCAACACATAAGTGGAAGTAAGTGGAGTTGGATCGGGCACACTCTGAGAAGACCGTTGGGCGAAATCATGAGTCAGGCCATCACTCGAGTGGAAGGTGAATGGTAAACGGGTAATCCGTTTGAGGGTGACATGGAGGAGATCGTGCCAGGATGACACCAGAGACTATGGGCAATAGTGAGACCAGCTCTTAGCACAAGAGGTGGCTGTTGCCACCCAAGTGGTTTAGTGGATAACGCTTTGGCATCTGAAACGGTGGGTACTGGGTTCGAGTCCTAGTGGGAACATCATCACTCACTGGGGAATGCAGATACACCAAAATGATGAGTCCCAAATAGGACGAAGTGTGCATCCTGGATTCCACTGCCAGTAACTATTCACGAAATTAATTCAAGTTAAGTAATCAGCCATCGTTGCGGCATGTGCACAAAGAGCTAACATTTCAACAAAGGCTGAACACTTCAGTCCAATCAATCAACGAAGAAGTTCTTATAGACTTGATACTCAAATCTCTTTAGGGTGTAACTCTTCAGTTAACTAAAAAGCATAGTGTACCTCCGCAGTCTATATTTACTTCTATTCCTGTTGTTCACCAACTGGAATTCAAAAAATGTTTTAGCAGTACGGCCAGAATTCTAGTTTGGTTTGGTTCTAGAATAAATTATTCTTCCAATACTTAGTTGAAGTGTGTTTATATATGTAGTAAAGGAATCAAGACAAGATAATTTTGAGCAAATAATTGTTTTCGATAACTTTCTCCTCTGGTTCTACAGTTATGAGTCCATGAATATTATAATACAAATAGTCAATAAAGGCAGGCTGAAGTTATATCAGAAACTGTTGTGGGTTATATGGATTGGAGTAGTGAGTTTTATTCAGTGGAGTGACAGAAATATGATCATCGCAAAATACATACAAACATGTACCAACAAATGAGGAGCACTGAATATTTTAATTGAAGGGCTAACAGATATCATGTGTAATAATAAAATAAAGCGATTAGATTATGAAGTGTGATTAAAATACTGGAGATATAATAAGCTTAGTATACATTAAAAAAGTGGACATATAATATGGATAAGAAGTTAGAATTCATGGCCTGGCCATTGGATCGGGTCCCAGTGGCTTAATGGTCTACAAGCTCGCCTTGTAACCTGGGCTGGAATCTCAGTGGGTACGAACTGCCGATGATTCCCAAAGTAGGACGAAACAGCTATCAAGTACTCCCTGCAGGTTTTCAAATGGTTCTCTAACTGATGTCGGCTCATGATGAAATCCTGTAACCAAACAAAAAAATCCCTACAAACCAATGCTTGAATAAGGATAATAATGATGTAGAGGATTAAGAAAGACATAATGTAACCCGGTCGGGAGTGAGGGTGAATGCTAACCGATAACACGCGCTAAAATCACGAGTTGGTAGAGGTTTGAATTCATGGACTGGTCTTTGACTCGAGTCCCATTGGGCTGAATGGTCTACGAGCTTGCCTTGGAACCGAAAGGTCCAGAGTTCGAAACCCGATTGGTGCATGCTGATGATGAGTCGCAAACTAGGCTGATGAAACAGCTGTCTGGGACTCCTTGGTTATTTTTATTGGATCTGTAAATGATATTCATCCCTACAAAGAAACTCTTGAATTTGAAAATATGAGATGATTATGTCCTTGATTACCTTCATGTAGGCCAAGATAGACAAAGAGGATGGAAGCTCTATTTCCTTGCACATATAAGTCAATTCCCTTCTTAATTCTCTATAGCTTCAGCTGTAGCTAGGAGACGTAACCATGTGCCCTTAGTCAGATTGTTTGGTACTCGATATACAACCGTAAATGAATGACTCATCTATTTTTAATGCGGTGTTCGCACTATCCACTAGAAATCCTTCAAACACCCTACTCCATATGAAATAATTGAATATACACTATTATCCTTAATGATTCTTCGTGCCCCTAGTAGAAAATAAAGCCTTAGCGTCACAACCGCTTTGATTCGCACTTGGTTCTCTGAGAATCCCTTCCAGCTTGTTCTATGATAGCCTGAAAGCTTCCATTTTTCCCTCTTTGCATGGTCTCTTCCATATTACATTCTGAGGCTCATCTCGTCGCCTTCCATTCAGGGTCGATTTCAGTGATCAAGTATTTATAGCACGTTGTAGTTCGTTTGATGAGATAAATGGAAAGACAGACAAAAAGAGACTGGCAGTGAGACGGGATAATCAGTGTCTCTGGGGAAACATTTCCATATCCCTGTCTTCTCAGAAACAGCTCTTGAAATCCACATAATATTAATTGAAACTCAAGCATTTTTCAAACTTCCTAGTTATTCTTTTAAGTTAAAATTCATTTGATAAAGTGTAGTGAATTCTCATTGTCTGAGATGTATGAGAGATAAGTTTCGCATTTCTAGTCATCGGCTAACTTCAACAAGTGCTTTTGTCTAAAGTAAAATTAGGCTGAATAAGAGAGAGAGTTAGAAGTGATGTAACTACAAAAACAGAGCATGGCACTGATGAATTAAGTCTTTGTTCACCTACCCGAGTTACACTAGAAGGTGGGCATCACTTAACAGTCAGTGATTAGATACTATTTGTGACATAAATCTGACGCTGAACTTCACTAAAAAATGAAATGGAAGAAAGCATTGAGTTTCTCAAAATACTTTTAACAACACTTAACAGAACGTCTTCTATCCCTGAGAAAAATGATAAATAAATTATCGGTAAACAATTAGATAGTCGAAACAAACATTACGCGGACATTTTTGATGACTAACAACCAAATTTTTGGAAGTGGCCATTCTTCCTTCACATCTTTGAAGCTGTTCACTCATCTTTGAATGCGTGCACTGATGATTTGATCCACAGGAGGCGCAAATACATCAGTAAAACTCTTCTGATTTCGTAGAGTAGATATAGTGTATTAATCATATCTTCACCCTTCGACAGATTCTGGAACATAGGCATACTTACTGCCGTCCAACAACAGTCATATTTCTTGACCTTAAAGCGACATTTGTTCCCGTCGACTGAGAGATACTGTGGCGATGTTTGGCCGTGAAGAGAACGCTGAGGAAGTACATCGGACTGATTAAGGCATTCTACTAGAACTCATGGAGCTAGCCAGGTGAGAGCCTACGGAGAATTGTCATCGGAATTGGTGACAACCAGTGGTGTCTATTAGCAATGTTCACTGTTCCAATTCCTGTTTAATTTCATAACAGTTGTAATAATGGGTTTAACCCTAATTAGGGGTTGACTTTCTACCATCAAGGAATAATCTCATTGACATGGTCTTCTCTCCAAGGTGAAGATGCTGACAAAATGCAGTTGACTCTTCTGAACACCTCGAGTGACAGCAATCTTTAGATGTTTGGCATGGGATTCGCTCCTGTCAAACGTAAGATGATGCTGCAGAACTGCATTACATCGACTTCTGGCTTAAAGACAGGGCGTGAAATGGTGACTGAGCGTGTTTACCACTTCATTTATTTAGCAAGTTGCATTAGCCAGCTCCGGCGAGTTGATCTCTGACGAAATCTCAGCACGGATACAGAAGGCGCGTGTGGCATTTGTCAGCCTGCAGCATCTCCGGCGTAGACGTCGTATCTAGGTGGCTATCGATCAAAGGACGAGTGCACTGCACAGCAGTTCACTTCATCTTCCTTTATGGCTATGAGCGAGACGTGACAGCCGTTGAAATTTTAAGACATGAAAAGGCTAGCTGTCTTTGATCATAGGTGTTTATATTCTCTCTCACCCATGTTAGGTGGTATCATAGGATGGGTAATATTGAGGCTAGGCGTCAGTCGAGTGCTAGGTTAGGAGGAAAATTCAGTCAATGAGGTTGTGAAACAGCCACATCGATTGAGATGGTTAGGGCTTGTGTTACGCATGCCTAGCAATCGATCACCTTTCTGGACTGATGGGCGATGTTAGCTGACATAGGATAGGTCGGGTCGGAAAAGAGCCAGTAATGGCGGACAAACCAAAATCGGGCTTCATCAGTCCATGAAATCCATAGCATTTAGTTTAAGCCAGCCATGTAAGGAGGTGTAGACTTCCTGACTGACAGGGGTCCTCGGGATGGTAAGAAGCAATGAAGACTGGAGACAGTTGGTGGTAACATGGCTCAAAATCGTTGTGAATGGCTGGTGCAGATGCATTCACTCTTCGTGATTTTTCATATCCTATAAATTTCTATTGTTCTTTCACATTACTATTCTTTTTTCCTCACTCACACTTCTGTTTATTGTCTCTCTTTTGAAGCTGTTTTTACTATTTTCTCTTGGTTTGTGTAGTACATGGAAGGAGTGTGGTAACTCGAAATGGTTTGCATCTGTGCGAAATTCTATGTTGAAACCAGTCGGCCAGTCAGTCAAAGTAGATATAATTCGATTCAATTTAATTCTTATGATTTGTTTTAATTTCTATTTTGATGTGAATAGGTTATAAATTTCAAATTGGACAAAACTTTGGTAATGCAACACGTGATTTAGAAGTATGCGCTCATCCATATTCAAGTTATGGAGAATATACAAAAGCAAGAGATTTAGCTCAAAAATATCTTTCATAAAAAAGAAGTAGAGAATAATTAATTACCCATTTTTAATTTCACAGTTAAACATTTTTGTTTTATTTAAACAAAATTATTTATATCAGTTATCATGACCTTGATCATTTAAAAAATAGCGCCAAAGATGATTTATGTCTTTCTTATTTTATTTCTGTGATATTTTAATTTATTATTTCTCTGCCTTCCTGTCCAGATGAATATCAGCTTTAAATTAAATTTATTTTTTATCATTAATTTACAAACAGAATAATATTTTCACTTTCTTTTGCTTTTTAAAATTACTGACTTTTTTCTCACTTAATTTCATGTGAGTATATTAAAAGAAAACTTAACATGACATAGTACAGAATGCCATTATTTTGTTAGCAAATAAATAATAAAACTGACATTTATTTCATTGATTTTGTTTTTTTTCTTCTTAATACACATGAGTTATGCGTCTTTGTGAAAGAACTTGAAAAATGTATGAGCATCGTTGGAAAAAAGTTTGTTATTTTCGATTGGACACTAGTAGCTAGTGTGATGTGTCTAGTCTTCTCTTTGGTGCTGATTGAATTCTATCACTCAGGTTTGGAATGTGGCCACCATTCTAGGTAGCTCGCCGTCATGGAGCACATTGATTTGATGATATTAAATGTTTGGAGGCAATCGACAGGAAGCCTTGGACCCAGGTTTCGTGCTAGTTGGCACTCGTCAGCAAGGCGTATCTGCAACCTTGAAGGAACTCATGTCCCTGCTTCTGAGATTCGAACCCGCGTCACCCAATGCTGCAGTCAGAGACATTACCACTAAGCTATTCGGGCACGAAACTGACCTCCTGTAGGATAGTATTGGATGCTTTAATTGGACACTACTAACTAGTGTGATGTGTCCAGTCCTTTGTTTAGTGCCGACTGAGTTCTATCAGTCAGGTCTCAGGTGACGCGGGTCCTAATTTCAGAAGAGATATGAGTTCCTTCAAGAATCCAGATACGCCTTGATGATTAGTGCCAAATAGCGCGAAACCTAGGTCAGACAAGGCTTCCTGCCGATTGCCTCCAACCATCTAATATCATCAAAGTTTGTTATGCATGGATTGAGAAAGCTGGCAAATATTTTACGTATGCTATCATCTTCGTCAATCAATGGTAGCTTACATAGGTTTGAGCCATTTACTGAGGTGTAGAATGTCTGATTGAGTTCTCTATGTCACTAAGAATCAATGACTAGGGACTGTTAGTGATGTACCTTATAATCATTCTCAATGTCACAAGTGTACTCTCACTTCCGGATTTCCTAGATCCGCTGAATCCTTATTATTCTGCATGTAATTATTCTTATTATACTAATAAATCCTCATATAAATGTAATAAATAGAGGCTAAGAAAACTGAATAATCAGATTCAGTAATGTCAGACTGTAGAGGAAGTAAAAATACAACAATCTCTATTAAGAATGCTAAAACACTAAGGAAAAGTTTGAATGAGACATTTAAGCGAAGAATATTGTCGTTTTCAATTAGATCTTCTTTAGGCTTTACTCTGGTTTGTATATTAAGCAAAATTTAACCGATGACGGTGAGTTTGTCGATCAAATAATAATAATAAGCGTTACGTATTTTGAACATCATTAATAATGATAACAAAATAGTGATTATGAGTTTTATACAAGTGGCGATAAGAATAACGAAGGTGTAGTAATATATGTGTGTATATGTAGACAATTCAATAAATAAATTAGATAAAGCAATAAGAAGACGTAATTTGTCTGAACTAGACAAAGACTGAACGCTGCTGTCAAAAAGACTTTTTATGCAGCCAATATCATAATAATAGAGAATGTAAAGCCAATATATCTATCTAAGCCCTTCGAACATGCGAAAAATGATGTCACATCCCACTGTATTTACCAATTTGAATGTACGTGTGGACACACATACATAGGGAGGACTCATCGATCTCTGCAAGTAAGGGCTGGCTTCAGAGCACATTCCTAAATGGCTCCAGAAACAAATGGAATCTTCAGAACCTATTAACGGTGAGAACAGGAGACCTAGCTCCTCTATTGCGAAACATATTATAGAGACGGGACATAAAATTGACGTTAACAGATCTTTTAAACCTATCTATAAAACGTATTTGGGGCGTATCCTAAAGTTTGTGGAAGCCCTAGCAATTGGAAAGTTTAAACCACCTTTATGAGTTCAAAGCAACAATTCATCATCACACTAAATCTTCCTTGGTAAACTTTGTTTTGATACTAGCCAGGGTGGCACAGTGGTTAGGACTCTCGCCGACCATGCACATGGTCCGGGGTTCGATCCCCTGCCGGCGCACACCCGATATCTATGGTATGCCTGAATTTGGGCAACCGATATCCATGCTGAAAATTCCATACTTGTACTGAAAATACGGTGTGGATACAAGCTGTAAATCAAAATAATAATAATAATAGATGTACTATTACCTCTGTTATTTGGTTTAGTGGTCTTCATTGTTATTTTGACCTTCAATATGTCCTTTTAACTTGACCTAAGTCTGTTTTCTCACATCTTAACTCTTTATTAATTTCATATATATTCCTGTGACAAGTCCGTGTGTGATCAGATTGTTCGAAATGCGTTGCGCAAATACATTATACGATTTAGACAAATTACGTCCTCATATTGCTTTGTCTAAATTCATAAAGGGAACTAATTGTTTTAAATAAATCAGGTCAAATCTTAAAAGTTACATAATACTAAAAGTGAAGTGGACTGATAATCAGAGTTTAAATAAATATCATTAAAACACGAAGGAAATGGAAAATAAGAAAGTGTTAAGGAATTTTAATTAGACCTTACCTAGACCAAGGGAGAGATAAGGTTAGAACAAACTTCTTATGTGTGCAGAGACTACGATTGTTCTCTCAAACTGATTCCTATAGCTTCGGCTGTGTTTAAAAGACGGATTCGAATGCCATTCGAAGGATTTGATGGAATGCAATAGATAACTTTGAAGGCACTTCTTCTGTCCACTAGGCGACCGTTACCAGTCAAACGGGACAAAAAAGAACTTGAAGAAAATAAAAGACAGTTCAGCGAAGAAAATTTTTTTTATCGATGAAATCATCTTCAGAGGCTGTACAGTCATATTTATGTTTACCAAAAAATGTATAGTAGCTCATTACTGAGTAAAAGGGGTGGTGGTGACATAATTAATTAGAAGTGGCTTCAAAAGTAAAAATAAAAGTTACAAATTACGTAATAATCAGTGGCACAAAGGGAGCAAGCATTAGAAGTTTGATAAGGTTGAAATTACTGAAGAGTGAGAAGAGGAGTAGTTTAGTGTCCACTTAACAAGTGTGAAGAAGGTAAGAAAACGTACAAAGGAACATTTGAGAGTGATAATAGTGAATCCATAATTAAAGTAAAAGCAAAGTAATCATTAAAAATAAAAAAATAAAAACTTACGGGAAACGACTAGTGAAGAGGTTAAGACCATGGTACAATAAGGGACTGAACAAACTATTTTAGTGTACAGTGATCGAGGTTGTACTGACGAATTACCAACGCCTCCACCATACACAAATGCCGAATCCTGCCGCCCTTCTTACCATTTAGCCTTACCTTTTAGATAATCTTGAAAGACGACTCTGGTGGAGCTAAGTGGCTTCAGTTCACCAAGAGCTCAAGAACTGAGCTGAGAACAGTCTTGCATTGTCCTTTTGCTAACCATGCCGAATAATGTTCAGAGATGCGTTCTCAGTGATCTGGATAAGAAAAGGTTCTTTGGAATCTCAGGTGCGGTATCAACTTCAAATTCAACGTCCATGAATAGCAGTTTCTTCAGCACCGTTTGGGTCCTTTCAGGTTCTTGCTTTACTTTATCTTTTTCTCGATGAATCTTGGAGGATATCCATTTTCCATGAGGACTCGTCTGAGTATCTAGGTATTCAAGACCAGACTAACTGAAACAGAACTTCGTACAGATTTTATTTAGCCTTTCCCGAACAATGAAGCAAGATGCTCGTTAAAACGTTTGTTGAACTGTCTAGTTGTTCGCCCTATATAGCTTTCTGATCAGGAACAGCTAAGTTTATAAATGCACATAGAAGTGGCACAACTAGGCAGCTTGTCCTTAGATTTTGTGACCAAGGATATAAAATCAAACAATTCAGTACGAATATCCAGTTTGAAAACTCCTTTCTACAAACAAAAGTCTTGATCCCATCGTCAGGCGATGGACTCTACAGTTGTCTGTAGTATAAAAACCGTAGCCATTCTAGGAAAAGCCTTCTAACTAAACTGAGTGAATAGGTTTGAACGAAATTTTACTGTACGTCGTTTTAGAAAGCTGGCGAATGTGTTACGTATACCGTGCCATCGACTTTCACACCGAGCAGTGTTAGCTGATACAGGATTAGGTTGGGATATAATTACTATGAGTGGTCATTTTAATTCATGAAGTCTTTGACTATTGCTCTGAGTCCATATACAGACGTGAACTGCCTCTCAGACTAGATTCCCGGAGACACTGAGAATCAATGACTAGAGACTGCCAGTGATACACGTCGAAATCATTCGCAGTGTCACAAGTGTATTCCCTCTTTTTGACCTCCCAGATCCAATGAGCTCACACTGTTCTCCGTTCTAGCTTGAATTATCCTTTTTCAAGATTATACTTAGAAATCCTTAAATAGACGTAGTAGATAAAAGCTGAGGAAAACAAATAATCAGATTAAGTAATGCTAAATAATAGTAGTAATAATCCCTTTATCCCTTAGACAAGTGATTATACGGAATGGATTTTTCAACGGTCTTTTTATACATATTGCAACAATTTAGCTCCTTTTTTATAGATATGTACATACATAAAATTAACTATTATTAATTAAACCACAAAACCCAGAAGGTTGGTGGAAACATAATGAAGTATAAGTAGATAGTATCATAGGTAATACATGCAGCATTAATAATCTTCGCCTACACTTTGCAGTCCAACTAATGAGTTAAAAGGTTTATAGGTCCTTTTCTGAGACCTGACTCTCTCTTCACACATATCACCTATGCTAAATATGGTAGTATGGTAGCACTTCAATATTTAGTAGCTGCACGAGCATAAATTCTTATGATGTTTCTTCTGGATTCATCCCTGAATAGATACAAGGCAAAAGTTGCGAATAAAGACGAGGATGTTCAGGATGAGACAAGATAACTTTAGCCAAGTGTTTACAAGAATCGAATTCAAATGACTGTCAACAACACCAACAACAATGTCAGTTGGCTGAGTCAAGGGAACACCGCTAACCCTGACTGCTTATGGTCTTCAATGTTTTACCCAATATGATATAGTCTTTATTGAGAAGTCCAGGGAAGGATAGGTGTGGGGAACATTAAAGAAGGCGAATGTGTAGAGT